AGGAGGATCGCTTGAGGCCAGAAGTTCAAGACCAGCCTGAGGAAGAGTGAGACCCCGTCTCTACAAAAAAACTTAAAAATTAGCCAGATGTGATGGTGCCACCTGTAGTCCCTGCTACTTGGGGGGGTCAAAAGGTGCAGCCACTGCGGAAACAGTCTGGCAGTTCCTTCAAAAGTTAAACCCTTCGGCCGTAAAAAGGAAAGCAGCTCTGCTACATGCTACAGTGGGGGATGAACCTTAAAACATGATGCTAGTGAAAGAAGCCAGGCACAAAAGGCCACATATTCTTTTATTCCACTTATGTGAAATGTCCAGAATAGACAAATCCACAGGGACAGAAAGCAGGTTAGTAGCTGCCAGGGGCACGGGGACAGGAAGGAATGGGAAGTGACTGCTTAATGGGTACAGGGTTTCCTTCTCATGCCATGAAAATGTCCCGGAACTAGATAGAGGTGAGGGTTGCACGACCTTGTGAATGTACTAAATGCCACTGAAGTGTTCGTTTTACAAAGGTTAATTTCATGTTATGTGAATTTCACCCCAATTCAAAAACATATGAAATGTTGGCAAGGAGTAGAAGCAATTGGAACTCTAATTTGCTGCTGGTGGGAATGTAAAATGGCGCAACCAATTTGGAAAACAGTTTGGCAGTTTCTTTAAAACTAAACGTACACCTGCCCTATGGCCAGCAATCTCACTCTTGAGTATGTACCCATAAATTAACATCCGTGTTCAAACAGAGACCTACATGGAAACGGTTTTTGGGTTTTTGTTGTTGTTTTGAGACAGGGTCTCCCTCTGTTGCCTGGGCTAGAGTGCAGTGCCATCACCATAGCTCACTGCAACCTCAAACTCCTGGGCTCAAGCGATCCTCCTGCCTCAGCCTCCTAAGCAGCTGGGTGTGTGCCACCATGCCTGGCTAATTTTTAAAATTTTTGTAGAGATGGGGTCTCGCCATGTTGTCCAGGCTGGTCTCCAACTCCTGGGCTCAAGCAATCCTCCTGCCTCAGCCTCACAAAGAGCTGGGATTATAGGTCAGGCCATGCATGCAAATGTTTATAGCAACTTTACTCATAATAGCTCCAAACTGGAAATGGCCCA